TAAAAAAAAACTTTTAAAAAATTAAAAATAAGGATAAATTCAAAAAAAAAAAAAAAAATCGGGTCGCACACAGCGCCCAGGTCCTCCTTCCTAAATCCTAATCCTTGCCCAGATTCCTGGAAAAAAAAATTAAAAAAATACAGGACTTTCAAGCTTGAGTTGCAAATCTAGACCGCATGAGTGGTTGAGTACCGGCCTAACAAGCAAACCGTAAATTAATCATGATAATATATATATATATATATATATATATATACACAGAGGGGGTGTGTGTGTGGGGGGGGGACGATGCATTATTTGCTTAGAGCTTACCCCACCTGATGATCTTTTGGCGATCAGAAAATCACAATTTGTCGATGACAAGCACTGAAAACTGTTCCATTGCAAGTATCACTTGAAAAATACTTTAAAATCATATTGGCATTAATCCTAATCATTTTATCAACATTAAATTTAACTTATATTCCAACGATCCAATTCAGTTTTCTATGTATCCAAACTATATATATATTTTTTATTTTTATTTTTTTTTATGCAAAATTACCATGTGTACATTGCGTTTATTTAGAACATATGTAATGGATGCTATTGAATAGATGAAAAAGGTTTTTTGTTTTTAGAAAATAAGATATTTTTAATTTTTTTTTAAATTAAGGTAATTTTAAGCTTATTTCTCAATATAATTACTTAGTATCATATAAACATACGTCCTATTATATAAAAAAAACTCGGTTTCATCTTCTTTTTTTTTTTTTTTTTCCCTGTCATCATCAAAGCATTCACAACAGTAGCTATCAAGTTAATTATTTTAAACAATCATGTAATTGTTTTGCATTTGAATTAAAATAAAAATTTGGACTTGTATGGATGTTTTTGTTGATTTTTTAATTTATAACAATGGCATCCTTGTTTTCTAATTAATAGATTTTTTTTTTGTTTTTAACCACAAAGAAAAGCATGGCTTTGATTTATTCCCTCAACTGGTGTTGTTAATCATTAATTTGATTTATAGGAGTTCTCGGTAAATATACATATGTTATCTTCTATCAAATATAGTTTTACTCAAAGAAATTAAGTATTAATTGACATCAAGTACGAAAAAAAGGACATGTTGATAACATATTTTTAGAGAATTGAAATGATTACCAAAAGATATAGATTGATTGGGGTTTGTTAGGAAAGATTTGAGAAAATTAAAATTAACTTGAAATAGGTATTTGATTTTTCTATTAATTTGGCAAAATATTTTGTTAGATGAGCATAAGATAGGTTATTTTAGATTAATTTACACTTTATTTGGCACCACAATCTACAATCTTAAGGTGAAAAAAATATGATATATGTTTAGATCTATTTTGACTCATCCATTAATTATTTTTGAACGAGTTAAACGGCTATTTGTTTCTAATAGTTGAAGATTTATGATGGTAAAATTTTGATTTGATCCATGTATATTCAAACATTTCAATTTAGTTAACATATATATATGTTTACATGCTAAAAAAATCTTATTTTAATAAATAAAATTTAAAATGTCTTATTGTGAGAAAATAAATTAAAAAGTAGCATATCGAAGGGAAAAAATCCGGATGAAAATATGGGCTTAAATGAGACGTACGACCACCGACAATGTCCATCTTTCCGTACATACTGTTATTTTGGAAATATACTAGTATGTTACACGTGAAGTGGGTTTATTACTAATTAAATACGATAGCCGTAGCGTCTATAAAAACATATTTACATTTAATATCAACATTTAAAAAGTTAAATATGATAGCGATGTCATCAACGTGCTCCGCGTAATAATGAATTAATTAACAGTTTGATTAGGAAAAAAACTTGTGATGGGAGCGGCGGGGAAGGGAAAGAAGGAGAAGGAAGGTAATGAAAATTTTTTGTCTTCTCTTGTTTGGATAGGTAAGATGGAAAGTCAAAGAGAATTTTTTTTTTTTTTAGAAAAGACAATGGAGGGTACTAAATATTAAGTTTATGGCTAAACTCATTATTAAATTTAGAAAAAACTACATTATAATTATATCAATTTTTTCTTAATTAAGCATATCATTTTTTTTTATTTGAGCATATCAATTTTTTTGAAAATATTAATAAAGCTTTTCCTTCATACTTTTTGTCTAGTGATGACGTATTAATTAATTTAAAAGACTAGATGACTATATTATTTTTTTCTTTTTAAATTTTTATTATTATTTAATAATTTATTAAAAAAAAAAACAAAGCTTGCAGCAGGTACGCACACATGCCAATTTATGTACATAGTCAATTTCTTTTTTAAAAAAGTTAAATAATAATAATAACTTTGAAGAAAAAAAAACATAATTATTTATTTTTCTACTTTAACTGTCGTGTCATGAGTAGATGGAAAAACTTGATTGGCATTCTTTGAAAAATTAATATACTCTAATGAAAAAATTGATATACTCTCTTGAGAAAATATTTCAAAATTGGAGTACTAATAATGTAATCATCCCATTAAATTTGTCATTCCTGTCTTTTTCTGTTTTTTTAATTACCAACACACCCCACCAATGCTTGTTACCGAGTTACAGTTAAATATTTTTTATATCAAATATCTAAAATGCCATCAATATTTTTGCTCCATAAACATTTAATTTTTGAGTAACTTAGGTATTTAATATAAATATATTTAATTATTATGTAGTAATAAACATTAACGAGGAAAGTGTACTGTTAATTTTCAAAAAAAATTGTGAAAATAACAAGTTTGATAGTAAATTTAACAACACTCGAATATTAAATGTCATCACTACCTTTTTCAGTTGCAGGTGGATGGATGAAGTAACAAATAATATTGAAAGGGTTTGTTGGTTATAAGGATAAAATTGGATTTTTTTTTATATAAATAAGATTAAAATAGTAAGTTCATGCTAAAAAAAATTTAAAAGGTATTTTCTTACTTCATTACCCTCCAATTTGGAGATGAGACTTTGAAGGATAATGAAGGTTAAAATTCAACCTCCGTTCGTTTTTTCCTTCACTAAACATCTTCTTTTTAAATAAGGCTAAGATGCAATTAACCTTCATTCTTGATAAAATTTATTTACTCCATAAAAAAATATACACACAAAAGTAGAGAGATAGGAGCATGAAGGTTCAAATTCAACCTCCATTCCTTTTTTTCCTCCATTAAAAATCTTCTTTTCAAATAAGGTTAAGGTGTAATTAATCTTTAATTTCTTACGTTACTGTAAATAACAATACTAATTAATACATAGAGGAAAGATAGACCCAAATAAACTGTCTCTTTGCTCAAAATGTTTTCATAAAATAAAATAAGTATTATTAATTATCACATGAATATTTTGAAATTTCTCTCATTCTTTTTTCTCTCCATTCCCTTCTTCTCCATTTACCAAGTCCGATGACAAGCTGTAAATGTCTCATCCAATCAATCATTCACACTTGATATGACGTTATAATTGTTTAGTTTTAATTTTTCACTCATTTAGCTGTACGGTTTTCAGTTCTTTGTTCGGCGATTGTGATTCTTTTTATTTATCTTTGTCATAGTTTTGACGATTCAATCTATGCGTATTTTTTAGAGTTTAATTGCATTCCTTTCAACCATATTTTCCATATTTTTTTTAAACATCAATATATTTCGCAATCTGTTTTTTAAGAAGCCAAGGAAAAGATTATTACAATACCATCCTAAAATATCTGTTATTGATGAAAATTTTAATTTCAGGAGGTTGGACTAATAAGTTAAAAATGTATGTGTCATTTTTTTATTTTTCTTGGTTCAAATTTTCAAATTAATACTCAAAAAAAATTATTAAATATTTTTAAATGTACAAGGTAAATGTGAGAATGCATCTTTAAAATCCTTACAAAAAAGATATGTAGTTGCACTTGATAAATAAGTTAGTAGGAAGACAATAAAATAAAATCAATAAAAATTGATGTATGTGAATTTTTTGTCTAGGTTTTTATTTAAATTTTGTACATTATGTTAGTAAGAATTAACGCTAACTGCTCTCATTATGTGTTTCTACCATACATGATTACGTCTAATTAAAAAAATATAATTTTTTTGGTAAGTAATTAAAAAATACAGTCAATAAATTTCAACCTTGCATTTTCTAGAAACAAGAATCATATTCATTACATTCTCAAAAGACTTATATATATATATATAACACAAAATTCATATTTTTTTAATTAAATTAGTATGTTTTTTTTAATATTTAATATAAAATACACAAATCAATATTTTATTAACTATATTAGCATTTATGATTTTTTTTGGTCAAAATTCTATTAATATATGACATGATAAAAAATTTTAGTTTTTGCTGTCAATATTTTTCTCTTATTACATTATATGCTAAAGGAAATTTGATTAGAAAAAATTACATGTACTAATATAATTAGTATTTTGTCAAACATTAAAAAAAAGTATTGATATAATTAAAAAATTGTAAAGTTTCTTTTTTTTTTTTAATTCATAGGATAAGCCTTCTCAAAATAAAATGAACATAGATGGGTCCAATTGGTCAAGTGCAATCCTAGCCACGCAAACTCCGAGACGGCCTAAATGATTCCCACACCTCCAAAGTTTTGTACGTGAGATGATCCACTCTAGTCCAGATATATTTATTATGATCCAGAAAAAAATACGTGTAATTATCCCAATCGCTGTTCTAAGCACGCCAACCATCCATTTCAATTGCCATCTATGGAGCTGCCTTAAAATAGCGACTAGTCAATAGATTAACGGTCGGTGAGCGGCAGTGTTTGCTTATACCCATTAAGCCATACCCTATGTTCATTGGATGAATATTTTTGGTCCAAAGCGCACTGTCTAAGTAGTTATCTATAATTATATAATTCTGATGGATAAAAAGGGTGGCTAAAGAAAACTATAAAAATAGGATTTTCTAGAGGAAAAGCAATGGCGAAATATGGGGACCCACTCACCCTCTTCCAAGGATAAGTGATGCGTTGGGTTTGAAGCAATGATGCCATGTGGTGTTTGCATTGATGAAATCTTAAGCTGGTAAGTTTGTGCTAGTGTTGCTGGGCCTTTGTTAGGCGGGCCCCATCGGGCCCTAGGTATTGTAAATCCACCATTCCCTTGGCTTTGTCTTAGGCAGTAGTAGAGACTTTGAGCTCTGGGAAGAGCTAAAAACGCGGACAGCTGTCCTATCAAACGCGGTTACATGCATCATCATCACGAGCAGGACAAACATCATTATCAAATCAGTCAGGGTCTCCTGGGCCTGATGGGGCCAAATTTTTAGCGAACATCCGTATCTACTGCTAGAACTACCCTTCGTATTGCGCAAATCAACGAGGGTAATTTTGGAAATGCAAATTGCTATTTCGAGCACTTGATTTATGTGATTAAAATGTATGAAGGAGGGTAAAGGGAGGGTTAACATCTATCAATGGGTGGAGAATATTTAACGTCACATCTCAATTCACTACCTGGATACTCTAAAAAGTGAAAAAGTAAAGGAATACGAGTAGCTTGCAATTGTGTAACAGAAACTACTGCTACTATATATTGGAATCTTATACTCAAAAGAAGTAGAATTACGAACCCTATGAAACACTTCCAATTTCAAACTCAAATCATTTTGTTTTTGACTATGCAGACGATGATGGGCAGTTTGGTTGAGATTTGCCACCTGGGAAACCAAATGGAGACACGCATATGCTTGGAGCTTAACTGGAGTGCCCTTTTTGATCTCTCAATAAACGGTACTAGATAGATATTCTACTCATTTTAGTTGGATATTAATTCCACTTCAAAACCAGACCATGAAAAACATGGGCAAACAGTGGTAGAAAAGTTGAACAATGCCGTCCATATGTGGATTTTTTTTCCCTACCAGTACAATCACTCCTTGACTAGCTAGCTGCAATCACAGCAAATTATAATCTACAGGCTGATTTTCATTGCTGGTTGGTTCAGCCAATGGACCCGTGAGCATTGCCTTTATTAATCTTTGGTTGGCCATGTCTAGGACATCGTGCAGGCAGGTCTCTGTCTATATTCCTTTCCTTGTTTCACACTTGCTCTAATGGCGTAGCGAGCCGTGACCCATTAACATTAACGAATCACAGACTGCAACTATCTACGACTACGTGTCCTTAACCTAGTGGAGGTGGGGACACTCACTAATCACTATTTACACTGATTCTGTGCGTCAGTTATCTTTAACCTTGCCGTGTGGATTTCTTAACCATCGCTCTTTTTTTAAATCCAAACTACAAATAATGTGTCGCAATAGCGTTCCATCCTACCCCATCCGGATTACCAAAACATCCCCTTCCAGTCAAACCCTTTCAAACAAGAAAAGAAAAGAAGGGACACCTGGAAAGGGCATATTAGGGATGACAGACAAACAACATTGTATAAATATGAATGTTGGGTCCGGGAATTATGTTTACACTTTACCTTATCATGAAATGAGAAACGAATGATTCACAGAAATCCAAAAGCCACAATCATTTACTTGATCACTCCAACCAAAGTACCGCACTCTCTCATATTCCTTTTCTTTTCTCCTCCGTTCTTTGATAAAATCGTAACACTTTATCTTCTTCACCTCCTCTTTTTTTGCCTTTTTTCCTGACACGCATAGCACTTTTGAATTTTGCAAGGTAGTGATCATCAGTACTTGTCAGTTGGCAAATTGATGGCTTCGGATGAGAGCATGACCGTGCTTTCTTCTTCAGTTCAAGAAGATGATCAATATGATCATGATCATGACACGGATGATGGTTATCAGCCTCCTAGTCTTCATAACTTATCTAGGCTGTCCATGTGTACAAGTTCCATGTACACGAATGAAGATGATGATTATCAAGATTGTGATGGGATGAGGATGTTTTTGTCAAGATTGTCTATAGAAAGTTTTGATGCTGATGAGGAACTCTCTGACGATCATCAAGAAGGTAATAGCAAAAACCTACTTGACCTCTCTTCAGATTCTGACGAAGACCCAGGTTGCTACTCACTTCCAGCAACACCACCTCGGAGGAGAAATCATGGTGGCTTAATAAATCAAGTACAGTTAATTGGAGTGAAAGATTATGCCAGTGACAACGAAGCTCAAAAGGGTATTATGAGGCAAAAGATGAGAAAGAATTTGAGGAAAAGGAGGGTCATAAGAGAAAGGTGGATGGACAATAACACTATGAGTTTTCAAAAGAAAGAAGAGGAGATGAGCAATTGTGGGCATTGTAATAGTTTTAGTGGTGAGAGTGAGGGTGGTGGGTTGGTAGTGATAACAAGGCCAAAGGGAGGCAGGAGGTCTCTGTGTATGGACTTGGAGGAAGTGAAGGCTTGTAGGGATCTTGGATTTGAATTGGAACATGAGAGAATGCTGGAGATGCCTAGTCGTGTCTCTCTTTCAGGATCTACTCTTGATACCAGTAGTGGTGGCAATTCTCCTATTGCCAACTGGCGCATCTCTAGCCCTGGTTAGTATACATTTACTTATGTCGTTGTCTTTCTCAGTATATCACTGTGTGGTATGCTTACAGATTACACAAGATAGATTATTTGAAATGATTTATGTTCCAAAACTTGAGATGGGTGATTAAGAGTTCTGAATATGACGAGCACTGTCACAAATTCTCATTAATACGTATCACGGCTGCTGATTCAATGTTGTTTATTATAGTATTAAAGTTAAAACTTTTGTGTCTAATTAAGTCTGAAATTTGTTATGCAGGAGATGATCCACGAGATGTTAAGGCAAGGCTCAAGGTATGGGCACAGGCAGTGGCAATTGCATCTGCATCTAGACATGGTGGCACCTGACTGCTAATGTTTCGGATTCTAATCTATACGTTTTCGGCTTCCCTTTATTTTGCGGGATGAATAGACACCTTTTCATTTTCCTTCCTACGAAAGAGTTTAATTTTGCCTTTCTTTTTGTTTTGTTTTCTGGTTGGGGTTCTGGGGATTTGAGGTTGGATTAACACTAATTGCCCACTACTTCACTTTACTCTTGTACATCGTTCCGCTGTTGTAAATAGCCATGCACATTGGGGTTGGAAGCATGAAGATAGTAGTAGACTTGAAAACTATATAGTTCATTACTAATTGTATGATTTTGAAGGTTTTGTATACGGTGTGTCTAATAGTTTGTTGTTAGATTTGATTGTGCATCCAGAAATGAAAAAAAAAAAAAAAAACATTGTATTAATCTAGAGCCGTACATGATGATGTTTATGGAGCACGAGTGACCGGGTATCTGCTTGCAGAAAGATTGGTAGCGCTACTTTTAATTGAGGTGTACACCCCCATTCATTTTCAGAATAAAAACAACCAATCCACTTGTTTTTTAGGAGGCAATGGTAAAAGCCTTGGGGGAAGTTATCTCTGTATTCCATACACTAACAAACAGTCTTTTCCATTTTCTTCAACAGGAGAGTGCCTTGTATATTTCCGAGAACATATATCCGGGCTCAGGAAGTCAGGGGTGTTATAACTTTTACAGGAAAATATAAAAGCTTGCAAAATAAACTCTTTTTGAGTTCAAAGGAAGTTCAGAAAGAATTGGAAAATAATCTACGTAGAATCCATGACACAGTAACTTTTAAATAAAACGTGGACAGATCAAAATTGGCAACCTCTAGAACTAATGTTAAGTTGCTGCAAAATCTGCAGCTTGAAATGCAATAAGAAACACTTCTACCCGTATCGTCATTGATAAGGACTTGAAGACAAATGTCACCGATCAAACTTAAACCCCATAGAGCTTATAGAAGATAATGACACCAAGAAGATGGTAAGCAGATTTAGTGGGGTTATAGTTAGCCTTGTAGACTGGGAGAACGTTATGTTGGAAACAACACCACTGCAGAGGGAGATACTGATTTTAGTTTTTGACAGTTGAAATTGAGCAAATGATGAATGAATTATACAGAAAGAAGAGAAACTGGACGATGATACAAACTTGCTGTCACCATTCATGACTCGATGCATATCATCTGTGGGAGGTGAAACCCGGGGGAAACAAATTAGTTTAACGTATGTTCTCGGGAACAGCAATATTGACATTATGGTTTGCCCATGTTAATTCAATTTTGATATTGATCTAAAGCTCAAATACATATACATACACATACATCTATATCCTTGCAAATTATTAATTCAGCATAACAATGTCATAGACTCATAATTCTGACAAAAAAAGAAAAAGAAAAAAAGAAGCATTATATAGTGAAACAGAATTTAAAATCTGTGATTGAATTGAATTTCCTGCAATTCTTGGTGTATGATTGCTGAGTACTTTGGTAGGAAAAAGAATAAATAAATTTAATAAAATGAGAGAATGGCAGCATAAGCAGGAGGCATGATAGGTTAACCATGACCTTGGGTTTTCTAGAATATCTCGAATGTTCATTTCAATTTTATGCCCAGTGAACCTTTATGTTCTACTTGGACAGCAAAATACAAGAGAGAGATCACATGTTCAAGCACACTGAGAAAGAATGATGCTATTCACTGCGTTCACTCCGCTGAGTGATGCCATAATCATCACCGTAAACAAGTCTTAGAAGTTCTACATGTGAAAATCAGGGAAATGAATAAAGAGGAAGCCATGAGGAGCCAATGGATAAGTTATCACTCACTTGAAAACTAGATTATGGCAGGTGTTGTCACAGGGGTATGGACAGTCAACAGCTTTAACATCTTCTCGACCAAAATACCAGTCTCCAACAGATTCTGCAATCCTCTGCGTAGTGGAAATTAATTTAGTACAAGTTTTGAGGTTCTGTACATGCATGCCCGCAAGCATCTTTATGTGTATCACCAAAACATTCTAAGATTACGTTTTACACCAAATAATTTCACCCTAATCTGGTTATTATTTGAAAAGAATAAGGGACAAACAGATTAAATATGAATATCTATTCTATATTTCCTATAAAGCCTCTGTCTAAGAAATTTATCAGCCATACCTTCTTCCCAATACGGGGAGAATCACCAGCGAACCATGTATCTTGTCTCTCAGATTGGCAATGTGCAAAACAAGAATTTATGAACAAACCATTTTGACTGGATGTTGAGACAACTTTTATGGCATCCAGCATTTGATTCCTGAAGTCTGTTCCATGACAGAGTAAGGACAGACCAATATTTATGTGAATCATATGCTCTAATACAAACTGAATATTGATTCAGAGATTAAAAAATCAAGCAAAAGAAAGTTTAGTTTAAACATTACCTTGCAAAAATTGTATCTGTGATGAATTACATTGTGCATGATTCTGTTTGCATTCTTTCCAAGTACCATGAGGATCAGCTGATGGTGGAGCTAAACTGGATTGCAGCTGCCAAAAAACAAAGAGAAGAAAGTATACTCAAGCTATCCAACTTTCAGAAATCACCTGGGTCGTAAAATATAACTACAACTGTTGATTTGATGTTTCAGTAGTGTTCACATGCAATCTCTTTAGCCATTTTCCCACTGGTGCTCTGCTGTTCATTCTTTTCTTCTCTTCTGACTTGGTTTTAATACAATCTAATTTTTCATTGAAAAAAAGTTCTGCTGTTGGCTTCTGGCCTTGGGCTCAAGTGGTAATAGACAGTGGCAAAACAGGGAAAATTTTTAATTGAATTATTCAACTCAAATAGGTAGGTTTTGGCAACATGAAACTTTTTTTCACCAACACCACCCCCTCAACTGATCACGACCTATCACGAGGACATATTTTCTTGAATGTAGCACAAGACCTTTTGTTTAACCATATGACAGCTGTTTGAGAAAGTATATTACATGATTCATAATCCTTTTCTTATTTGCTATTAGAAAGAAAATTCAAAGATAAAGTGATTACCTGCCATACATCATAGGCTGAATTGAGAAGAAAGAGAGGAGTTGTTACAGCAGCCACCAAATTCTCGGGAAAGAAGCACTGAGGAGGGAGAGAGAGTCATAAAACCTCTGATACTAAATGTATTCATGAACTGCTCAACAATCAAGTCAGAAGATTACCGAAGTTGGATCCATGTGGTTGATACAAGTACTTGGCAGACTCTTTTGCACTCCCTAACATTTCATCCAGATACACATGGTTAATCAATGACCAATTACCAAGAAGAAATGTATTCAAAACCATAAATTGACAAATATTTTCTGAAGAGATAATACCAACAGTTTAATGCAACAAAGAAAAAGGTAAAACAACATATTAATAGACATTTGTAGAACTATCAGATCAAAGCATTCACATGCTATAAGGATCACATAAAATGATTTTCACCAGCACAGAAAGTGTTTAAAGGGATACCTGTAATCTGACTACACCATCATAAAAGTTTTGTAGGGTGTGCCCACCCGATATGTCCATTCTGCAGAAATTTCATTGGAAAAAATCATCAATGACATGTATTTCAATGACAGGTCATGCACTAAAAGAAGTCATACAAAGGAATTAAGAAAAGCTTCTTACACATTGAGAAACATTCCAGCATCACTTAAGCATTTCACTTCGGTAGATTGTGGAAATAATTCCCTGAACTCATCACAATGAATTATGGATGCCAAACCCCCAGCAGAGCATCCAGAGAGAAGAGCCTAAAATACATATGTGAACTAAATTGAATGGAACTGTGAGAACAGAATAGCATTCAGAAAAGACATAATAAATTAAATACCTGGGTGGCATTTTGCATTCCTTCAGCCATTAAATATTCCATAGCAGCTGACCAGATGCGTTGTCCTCGAAAATAAAGTTGTGAAGCCTGAAAAAGTACTCAAAGAATCAATGGAATTGCAAATTTTAGAAGAGAAAAACAAACTTTCAGCCAATCTATATTTCCATAGGTAACATAAAGGAAATAAGACAAAAAGGGAGAGAGATCCTCCATCCCAACAAAATTTCTGTAACCAAAACACTTATTGGCCACATTTTTAATAGAGTGGAAGAAACAAGTTTAGTTTTTCATATTCCTCTACATGATATTGTCATTCTCTGACATCTGTAAGATTTCAGGCCGCCGAATCAAATTGATATATCTACATGGATCTGTAGGAAAACAAATTATCAGCTAAAGTTGCTAGATGAACCCTATCAAGCACCTAAATTCCTGACACTAATAGAATGTGAAGCCATGCAATAAAATGTGAAGACAACACGCTACGAGAACCTTATAGAAAGCTAAAACATTAAATGTGAAGACAGAGCCCGTGCAAGGGATCACAATAATACAACACATTCTGCTTCAGTATGTCAGCATTGAAGTTATAAAATGATATCGGAGTACTGCTGCTGATATATTCTACAATAGTACCTATTCAATTAAATATTTAACCAAACCAATTGTCTTCAGCAAGATGCCGACTAAAGCAATTTATGCAAATCCTTATGTTCTATTTGTAACAATTATTGATGAAATAAAGAACAGATCAGATATTCCCACCAACCTCATTCTGACCGTCCCCGCTAAAAGATGCGCCATCACAATAACGTAGCTTAACTCTGTTCCAGTTAAAGAAATCTGCATGCATGAGAAACCGCCACTCTTAGTAAACAATGGATCACTCTTGCAAACAATGAGCCAACTTCTAATTGAACTAGACGGAGTCTGAAGTTTCCTAGGTTGGGAAGTAACCTGGATTTTCTTCTTCTTTATTGCTTAGTATTCCAGTGAAAGGTAATTGCTTTTCAAAAAGTTTTGATGAACCACGACGAGTAGTTTTGCGGTAAATACAATTTTTAATGGTATTGCACCACCCTCCTCCCTGGGTAAAGCCAAAGACACCGAAAAGTGATTCACATTTTCAGCTCCAACAAAGTATCAAAAAGAAGAGACAGAAAGGCTGATGTTCTTGTACAAAACGTACACCAATATGCTTGCGATTTCTCAGAAACTTAATTCAATAATGACAATTGGCTTACTCTTGAAAATTTCAACCTTAAAAGACAATGCTGCTTCTATTGTTGGTTGGAATCTAACAAAGCCAATTAAGAAATGTTTTTTCACATACCTCTAACTGAATGAGCCAGCTATCTTTTCCCGTTCCAGACCCACGATCCAAATGATAACCAGGCAGTGTTCCATCCAAACACACTGGTACAATAAGACATTACAGTAAAACATCAGCTACAAATGTTTTAGGCGAGCAGGGAGCGGTTGACTTCAGATAAAACTAGCATGACCCCAATTTCAATCTTTAAAATAATATCTTCTTGGAAGAGATAAATGCGGTCAGATTACACAATATCACCGACTCCAATTAATAACTATCACATCATTAAAGCAATCGATTGTATACCAGTTAATTCTTGAAAAGAGGGGGAAAAAAGGGAAAAGACGACGCAGTAAATCATTTTTCACAGTACGATTTGACAGCAAGAGCATCCATTCCAACAATGGACACGAGAACTAAGGAGAGAAAGGAAGTACCAGCTCCTTTGGAATCAGCTCCCTGAATAAGAGTGAGGCCGACCATAAAAGGTTCATCAGTAACGGAGGAAGAAGGTGAGACAGCCGCATCATTCTCAAGAAAAGAAAGGACTCCTTCTCCATCTTTCAAATCTTGAAAAACATCGTTAGATCCGCTCAAAACAGTCCCAATTAAAGCACACACGAACAGGGACAACACCGACACCTCTTTCATTCTTTTTTCTTCTTTTTTTGTCTTCGATTCTGTTTTCTAGCTATCAACAGTTTTGCCTACACTTGAAGTTGTTTATATTACGTTTAGCATTTGGATTTTGCTATATACGTTAATGAATCAATGAAGATGAAATCAGGGATCTTTTTGAAATTACGATGGTCTTATTAAGTAGGCAATAAAATGCAGGGAGAGATACGATTTCCTTTTGTTGAGTTGCCCCAGTCTCACTCGCTGTTTCAAAATTAACGATTTTTTAGTGTAAGTCAAATAGCATGATGATTACAAGTGACACCAGAAGACCGTTGTCGTCTTTCCTCTCTCTCTCTTTAGCCACTTGGTATTTTTCTTTTTCCTTCTTGTGGACTTCAAAGCTCGTCTGCTGCCCTCGTGACAAAATTTATTCTTTACTTCAAAACTAGATTTTGATAAATCACTTTCTCTTTTTAAACTAGATTTATTTCCTTTTCTATATCCAAATTTATTCGCATGTAGATACTGTCAAAATAAATGCATATTTTGTGAAAATAAAATCTCTCTGTTCTATTTTTGCATTATAAAAAATGCAATAAATAAATAAATAATAATCTCTCTCTCTCAAAACTATTTTAATATGTGATTTTCTTAATTTTACTGATATTCGTGTATATATATTATGTTTACAAGTAGTAGGATATTCTCAATTTTTGTATTACTCAAAATTAAATTCATTATTTTCTGAATTAGGTGAACACATGATTAATATTTGCTAAAATTATTAATTTAATTTTTCCTGAATTGGTGTATTAACGTAAAATTAGTTAATGATGTTTTTCATATAATTAGAACCTTAAATGATAATACAGGGAACATACCCACTTAATAATCGGACTAAGCATCCATTGTATAAAATCAAAGGAATGCTATTTACATGCATCAAAGTATTGTTAATATCTACTAAAATCACTAATTTACTTTTTTCAAATTGATGCATTCGCATGAAATTATTTTATTGATACTTTTTATTAAAAAACGATAAATTGAAAAACAACAAAAATAATTCAATTACAGATAGATTTAAAAATATAAAAACTAATTAATTAATTCTTTAAAAAAAAAGACTATTTAATTTATTTTGATAAACTAACCAGATTATTTATAATTTACTAGAAAATTTTATTTTCAATAATACATCACGCAGGGCACCGTATAGTTAATCGAAAGGGATTCAGCTCCCTTCAAGCCCTTCATTCAAGGTTTAAGATTTTGATAGATCACTTTCTCTTTTTAAACTAGATTTATTTCCTTTTCCTATATCCAAATTTATTCCCGCATAGATACTACCAAAATAAATTCATATTTTGTGAAAATAAAATGTCTCTGTTTTATTTTTGCATTATCAAAAAATGCAAAACAATAAAGACAAATCTCTCTCTCTCTTCACACACACACATATATATTATGTTTACAATTAGTGAGACATGCATTCTCAGTTTTTGCATTAATTAAAATTAAAATTATTATTTTTTAAATTAAATTAAAGCATAATTAATATTTACTAAAATCACTGATTTACTTTTCTGAATTGGAGTATTCACATAAAATTATTTTATTGATATTTTCATATAATTAGAACCCTAATTAAATGATAATAGATATAGTGAACACACTCACTTAATAACCGGACTAACCATCCAGTTTAGAAAATCAAAGGCATGCTATTTAATTACATGCATCAATGTATTGTTAATATCTACTAAAATCATTAATTTACTTTTCCGAATTGATGCATTCACATAAAATTATTTTATTGATACTTTTCATATAATTTGAACATTAAATGATAATGCAGTGAACATATCCACTTAATAACCCGTCCAAGCATCTAACGTTATAAAATCAAAGACATGCTATTTCCATGCATCATGGTTGCATATAATTGAAGCCATTTAAAATTCAACTGTACGTATAGTTTAATTGACTACTCGTGAAATTCAATCATGGTTTGGAATCGGTATGATTTAGTAGTTTGATCAAGTTGTTTAAAAAGACACGTGTTTAAAAAAAATAATGAGAAATGTTATCAAACAATGAATGTCCATATAAATATTTCTATTTTTTTTATATCTTTACTATTCATAATTCTTAATGTGATTTAATTCATTATTTAATATGAAAAATCGAAAGGATTATACAATTGATTCAATAATTTATGTATTTTTAATGGTTCATAATTACTTTCAATCCTCTTCCTAATCTTAAAACCTATAAATAAACTTGATTGATCATTAGTTTGTGTACACGTAAGATTGAGAGAATTGTTTAGAGTTGTTATCTCTTGCGATCTCTTTATTTCATAGTGAAATTATTTCTCCATCATTTTTCTCTCTAATTCTATTATTGTCACCATTTATTTTATAATACGTTATTAGCACAAAGCTTTAACCAACCGAGATAATAGACCATAAAGTATGTATCTTTCAAAAGACTCAATGATTTGATTCAATCATTAGATTGTTTTTATACATGAGCGCTCTACCAAAATATCTAAATTATCTAAATTATTAAAAGATATGTATCTAATTTGTCATGTACTTTAAATCTAATGATACATAGAATATACATTTAAAAAACTTAAATTATTTAATATATAGAATCTAATGATCCGATATATATTTTTTAAAAAGTTTAAAGTATATTATTATGTTTGTTTTTGTTTAAATTATATTATTAGATTTTATTCTTATTTCCTAATATTATTATTATTACACTTTGCATTATAAAATTTTTATTATATCAAACCTCACAAAATTTGATTTTGTGACCTTTGACATTTTGGCCAAAAATTATTGATCATGAGTAAATATTCTTTACTTTTCATGTCTTACTCTTGCAATGGCAATATCGAGAAAAAAAATTATGAATCAATTTCATATTTACTCGTAGCTAAATAAAATAATGAGCTATTGATAAAAAAAATAAATCCTACCCGACTCGGATCTATTCTATTTTCCGAAGTGAATATGACAACTAAAAATAATTTTAAGCATGGATGAAAATGTGATCATAACCATAGAAGTAGTAGAAATAATTATCGTTATAATTATGATGACCATGATAATACACCTCACCACCGAAGTTGATAAACTATGAAAAAAATAAGAAAAAAAATAAAAATGGATCAAGTTAGTATTCTGAAAATGAATGCTATAGATTGGTATGAATGAAAATTGGTTGTGTATACCAAAACACTTCATCGAGCCTTATCAAGCCTTATTGAAAAAGAAATAATAAAATATAGAAGCTATTTTTATATATTAAAATAATAGCAATTGAAATCAATTACCTAGTAGTTTTTCTATTTATAAATAAAATGTTTTTTATATCTTATAATTTTTATAGTATAGGGATAGTTACAAATTTATTTTGCTATTTATTTATTTATTTTTAATGAAGGAAAATATTTATTGATATGTTTTGTGTTTATTTAATTATTTATTTTATGCTAATATTATATTTGGTTGTATCAATCTAATAGAAGGTTCCGGAAGAGCGAATATATTATTATCTAAATAGATAAATTTTGAAGATTCTAGAATAATGAATATATCATTACTTGAAGAGACAACTTTTAAAGGCTTTGGAAGAACGAATATATTATTACTCGAAGTGACATAATTTAAAAACTTTAGAAGGGAAAATATGTTATTATCCGAAATGATAAATTTTATTATAAATAATGTAATATTCTCTCTAAAGTCTTATAGAAATTTGTTAAATTTCAAAAATATTCATCTAAATTGATATCATATCAAGACAACGAATGAAAAATATTGAATACTTATATATTATAATTATTATATCGAATAGAAAATATGTATTAAAAAATTTATCCACTTTCTATTTTGATCTTTATTACGAACATTTGAATAATTGAAACAAATAGTATAGTAAACTAGAAGTTTACTATTTTAAATACTTTTATTATGTGACATAACCGAGTTAGGTTATCCTAGGTCTTTCATGATGCAAAAAAATATTAAAAATTCATATAGATATTTATTAAAGAGCCGGGAGATTCTTTAATTTAATGATTTTTTATGTTTTGCTTGTTCTCAAGGCAAATTGATTATTAAGCCATTACCAATTAAAATTGAGATTGAATCTCCAAATTTTTAAGATGTATTCAAAGTGATATATGTGAACCAATTCATCCACCATGTGGATCGTTTAGATATTTTATGATTTTAATAGATGCATCTTAGGATAACATAACCAGTTGGGTTATCCTAGGTCTTTCATGACGCAAAAAAATATTAAAAATTTATATAGACATCCATTAAAGAGCTAGGAGATTCTTCAATTTAATGATTTTTTATGTTTTGCTTGCTCTCAAGGAAAATTCATTATTAAGCCATTACCAAATAAAATTGAGATTGAATCTTCAATATTTTTAAGATGTACTCAAAATGATATATGTGAACCAATTCATCCATCATGTGGATTGTTTAGATATTTTATTATTTTAATAAATGCATCCATATGATGGTCACATGAATGTTTATTATCAATTTGAAACTCGACATTTTTTAGATTATTGGTTCAAATAATTCAATAACAAATATAATTTTTTGATTATGTCATTAAAACAATTCCTTTTGATAATGCTCGGTGAATTTATCTCCTAAGCATTAAATGATTATTGATTGACTATTAGAATAAAGGTTGAATAGCTCGTTGCTTATATTCATACTCGAAAGATTTAGCAAAATCATTTATCAAAATGGTCCAATTGATAGTAAACCAAGTATTTAAAAATAAAACTCTCTATTTATGTTGACATGCAACAATACTTGTTTGCATTAGATCCATAAGTTGTCAACAATTCTCCACCTTTCAATTGGTTTGTGGTCATAAGCTAAATATTTCTCATCTAAAAATTTTTAGTTGCGTAGTATATATCCGTAATGCTCATCCACAACGAACTAAATGGACACTTAAAGGAGATTGATAATATATATTGA